AAATATCCAGATACAGGTCAAAATATTTTCTACTCAATATTATATAATAAAGTTATTCCCAAGGTACCCGATGCATACTGATCTGAGCATCCACGCTTCAATGTCCCCGATCACTAAAGGGTTAAACCGTGACGGGAAAGGGCCAAATCGCCAAAACGGTAAAATGTTCTCCTGAATAATCAGACAGTGCGGCTGAGTTTGATTTCCTGGCAGCAGATACAACAGACTGATGTACAGAAAATGGTCTTCACCTTATGATCTCCGGGTCCAAAGAAGACAGGTCCTCTGTGAATATGTATGGAGGGTTACTGACCAAAACGTCCACGGGGCCCAGGGCGAGGAGGTGCTCTGCGGGGTCTGTGTTCGAAAGGAAGGAGAGACTAAGGAAGGGGGAAGGAACAGCTACTGAAGGAGGAGGAAGTGTTGCAGGAGGTAGAGGAAGGGTTGCAGGAGGTAGAGGAAGGGTTGCAGGAGGTAGAGGAAGGGTTGCAGGAGGTAGAGGAAGGGTTGCAGGAGGTAGAGGAAGGGTTGATGGAGGTAGAGGAAGGGTTGATGGAGGTAGAGGAAGGGTTGATGGAGGTAGAGGAAGGGTTGATGGAGGTAGAGGAAGGGTTGATGGAGGTAGAGGGATGGTTGATGGAAGAGAAGGAAGCTGGAAGAGAAGGAAGAATTGCAGGAGGAGGAGAAAAGGTTGCTAGGGGCAAAAGAATGATGGCTGGGGTTGGAGGAAGGATTTCTGGGGGTAAAGGAAGGGTTGTAAGAGGCAGAGGATGGATGGCTGGGGTTGGAGAAAGGGTTGGTGGAGGAAGAATTACTGAAGGAGGATGACAGATTACTGGGAATGGGGAAGGCTTGTTAGGAGCAGAGACAGGATTACCAGAGACAGTGGAAGGGCTGGGGTGGAGGAAGGGCTGGGGTGGGGGTGGAGGAAGGGCGGAGGTGGAGGTAGGGCGGGGGTGGAGGAAGGGCGGAGGTGGAGGTAGGGCGGGGGTGGAGGAAGGGCGGAGGTGGAGGTAGGGCGGGGGTGGAGGAAGGGCGGAGGTGGAGGTAGGGCGGGGGTGGAGGAAGGGCGGAGGTGGAGGTAGGGCGGGGGTGGAGGAAGGGCGGAGGTGGAGGTAGGGCGGGGGTGGAGGAAGGGCGGAGGTGGAGGTAGGGCGGGGGTGGAGGAAGGGCGGAGGTGGAGGTAGGGCGGGGGTGGAGGAAGGGCGGAGGTGGAGGTAGGGCGGGGGTGGAGGAAGGGCGGAGGTGGAGGTAGGGCGGGGGTGGAGGAAGGGCGGAGGTGGAGGTAGGGCGGGGGTGGAGGAAGGGCGGAGGTGGAGGTAGGGCGGGGGTGGAGGAAGGGCGGAGGTGGAGGTAGGGCGGGGGTGGAGGAAGGGCGGAGGTGGAGGTAGGGCGGGGGTGGAGGAAGGGCGGAGGTGGAGGTAGGGCGGGGGTGGAGGAAGGGCGGAGGTGGAGGTAGGGCGGGGGTGGAGGAAGGGCGGAGGTGGAGGTAGGGCGGGGGTGGAGGAAGGGCGGAGGTGGAGGTAGGGCGGGGGTGGAGGAAGGGCGGAGGTGGAGGTAGGGCGGGGGTGGAGGAAGGGCGGAGGTGGAGGTAGGGCGGGGGTGGAGGAAGGGCGGAGGTGGAGGTAGGGCGGGGGTGGAGGAAGGGCGGAGGTGGAGGTAGGGCGGGGGTGGAGGAAGGGCGGAGGTGGAGGTAGGGCGGGGGTGGAGGAAGGGCGGAGGTGGAGGTAGGGCGGGGGTGGAGGAAGGGCGGAGGTGGAGGTAGGGCGGGGGTGGAGGAAGGGCGGAGGTGGAGGTAGGGCGGGGGTGGAGGAAGGGCGGAGGTGGAGGTAGGGCGGGGGTGGAGGAAGGGCGGAGGTGGAGGTAGGGCGGGGGTGGAGGAAGGGCGGAGGTGGAGGTAGGGCGGGGGTGGAGGAAGGGCGGAGGTGGAGGTAGGGCGGGGGTGGAGGAAGGGCGGAGGTGGAGGTAGGGCGGGGGTGGAGGAAGGGCGGAGGTGGAGGTAGGGCGGGGGTGGAGGAAGGGCGGAGGTGGAGGTAGGGCGGGGGTGGAGGAAGGGCGGAGGTGGAGGTAGGGCGGGGGTGGAGGAAGGGCGGAGGTGGAGGTAGGGCGGGGGTGGAGGAAGGGCGGAGGTGGAGGTAGGGCGGGGGTGGAGGAAGGGCGGAGGTGGAGGTAGGGCGGGGGTGGAGGAAGGGCGGAGGTGGAGGTAGGGCGGGGGTGGAGGAAGGGCGGAGGTGGAGGTAGGGCGGGGGTGGAGGAAGGGCGGAGGTGGAGGTAGGGCGGGGGTGGAGGAAGGGCGGAGGTGGAGGTAGGGCGGGGGTGGAGGAAGGGCGGAGGTGGAGGTAGGGCGGGGGTGGAGGAAGGGCGGAGGTGGAGGTAGGGCGGGGGTGGAGGAAGGGCGGAGGTGGAGGTAGGGCGGGGGTGGAGGAAGGGCGGAGGTGGAGGTAGGGCGGGGGTGGAGGAAGGGCGGAGGTGGAGGTAGGGCGGGGGTGGAGGAAGGGCGGAGGTGGAGGTAGGGCGGGGGTGGAGGAAGGGCGGAGGTGGAGGTAGGGCGGGGGTGGAGGAAGGGCGGAGGTGGAGGTAGGGCGGGGGTGGAGGAAGGGCGGAGGTGGAGGTAGGGCGGGGGTGGAGGAAGGGCGGAGGTGGAGGTAGGGCGGGGGTGGAGGAAGGGCGGAGGTGGAGGTAGGGCGGGGGTGGAGGAAGGGCGGAGGTGGAGGTAGGGCGGGGGTGGAGGAAGGGCGGAGGTGGAGGTAGGGCGGGGGTGGAGGAAGGGCGGAGGTGGAGGTAGGGCGGGGGTGGAGGAAGGGCGGAGGTGGAGGTAGGGCGGGGGTGGAGGAAGGGCGGAGGTGGAGGTAGGGCGGGGGTGGAGGAAGGGCGGAGGTGGAGGTAGGGCGGGGGTGGAGGAAGGGCGGAGGTGGAGGTAGGGCGGGGGTGGAGGAAGGGCGGAGGTGGAGGTAGGGCGGGGGTGGAGGAAGGGCGGAGGTGGAGGTAGGGCGGGGGTGGAGGAAGGGCGGAGGTGGAGGTAGGGCGGGGGTGGAGGAAGGGCGGAGGTGGAGGTAGGGCGGGGGTGGAGGAAGGGCGGAGGTGGAGGTAGGGCGGGGGTGGAGGAAGGGCGGAGGTGGAGGTAGGGCGGGGGTGGAGGAAGGGCGGAGGTGGAGGTAGGGCGGGGGTGGAGGAAGGGCGGAGGTGGAGGTAGGGCGGGGGTGGAGGAAGGGCGGAGGTGGAGGTAGGGCGGGGGTGGAGGAAGGGCGGAGGTGGAGGTAGGGCGGGGGTGGAGGAAGGGCGGAGGTGGAGGTAGGGCGGGGGTGGAGGAAGGGCGGAGGTGGAGGTAGGGCGGGGGTGGAGGAAGGGCGGAGGTGGAGGTAGGGCGGGGGTGGAGGAAGGGCGGAGGTGGAGGTAGGGCGGGGGTGGAGGAAGGGCGGAGGTGGAGGTAGGGCGGGGGTGGAGGAAGGGCGGAGGTGGAGGTAGGGCGGGGGTGGAGGAAGGGCGGAGGTGGAGGTAGGGCGGGGGTGGAGGAAGGGCGGAGGTGGAGGTAGGGCGGGGGTGGAGGAAGGGCGGAGGTGGAGGTAGGGCGGGGGTGGAGGAAGGGCGGAGGTGGAGGTAGGGCGGGGGTGGAGGAAGGGCGGAGGTGGAGGTAGGGCGGGGGTGGAGGAAGGGCGGAGGTGGAGGTAGGGCGGGGGTGGAGGAAGGGCGGAGGTGGAGGTAGGGCGGGGGTGGAGGAAGGGCGGAGGTGGAGGTAGGGCGGGGGTGGAGGAAGGGCGGAGGTGGAGGTAGGGCGGGGGTGGAGGAAGGGCGGAGGTGGAGGTAGGGCGGGGGTGGAGGAAGGGCGGAGGTGGAGGTAGGGCGGGGGTGGAGGAAGGGCGGAGGTGGAGGTAGGGCGGGGGTGGAGGAAGGGCGGAGGTGGAGGTAGGGCGGGGGTGGAGGAAGGGCGGAGGTGGAGGTAGGGCGGGGGTGGAGGAAGGGCGGAGGTGGAGGTAGGGCGGGGGTGGAGGAAGGGCGGAGGTGGAGGTAGGGCGGGGGTGGAGGAAGGGCGGAGGTGGAGGTAGGGCGGGGGTGGAGGAAGGGCGGAGGTGGAGGTAGGGCGGGGGTGGAGGAAGGGCGGAGGTGGAGGTAGGGCGGGGGTGGAGGAAGGGCGGAGGTGGAGGTAGGGCGGGGGTGGAGGAAGGGCGGAGGTGGAGGTAGGGCGGGGGTGGAGGAAGGGCGGAGGTGGAGGTAGGGCGGGGGTGGAGGAAGGGCGGAGGTGGAGGTAGGGCGGGGGTGGAGGAAGGGCGGAGGTGGAGGTAGGGCGGGGGTGGAGGAAGGGCGGAGGTGGAGGTAGGGCGGGGGTGGAGGAAGGGCGGAGGTGGAGGTAGGGCGGGGGTGGAGGAAGGGCGGAGGTGGAGGTAGGGCGGGGGTGGAGGAAGGGCGGAGGTGGAGGTAGGGCGGGGGTGGAGGAAGGGCGGAGGTGGAGGTAGGGCGGGGGTGGAGGAAGGGCGGAGGTGGAGGTAGGGCGGGGGTGGAGGAAGGGCGGAGGTGGAGGTAGGGCGGGGGTGGAGGAAGGGCGGAGGTGGAGGTAGGGCGGGGGTGGAGGAAGGGCGGAGGTGGAGGTAGGGCGGGGGTGGAGGAAGGGCGGAGGTGGAGGTAGGGCGGGGGTGGAGGAAGGGCGGAGGTGGAGGTAGGGCGGGGGTGGAGGAAGGGCGGAGGTGGAGGTAGGGCGGGGGTGGAGGAAGGGCGGAGGTGGAGGTAGGGCGGGGGTGGAGGAAGGGCGGGGGTGGAGGAAGGGCTGAGGTGGAGGAAGGGCTGGGGTGGAGGTGGAGGAAGGGCTGAGGTGGAGGAAGGATTGCTGGAGACACTTTTGCAGAACAGAAAGTCTCACCTGATAATATGTCATGGTGCAGAATCCGGATTCGATGTTGAAGATCGAGTCTGCGAAAAGACACACGGAGAGATTAGACACTAACGCCCCAATGATTCCCTTCATGTATCCATTGCTCTCCTCCATCCAATAATAAACGTTAATCATTTTTGGACTACACGGTAGACTACATTTGGGCCTGGAGGTGGCCGGATCTAATAATAGAGGAACCTGATGTGTTGGTAATTAAAGGGATAGGTCCAGGAAATCACAATCCTTAGGGTCAGGGCTATCTGAAATCTCAGCTCATATATCGGTTTCCTCGGTCACTCACCTCTCGGCATTATCCCGGGTGAGATCCACAGCCGCCTTGGTTTTATCTACAGCCAGGACACGAGCCTGGAGGTACAAACACAACACAAGCGCCATATTTATAAGAAGGTAGATATGATGTCACACATCCAAGAGCCCCTTCTAAATGAGACATTCCTCCCTCTGGTCAGACACACCCCCTCACTGGTCAGACACACCCCCTCTCTAATTAGACATGCCTCTTTCTGGTCAGACATAGCGCCTTTATGATTAGAAATTCCTCTCTGGTCAGACACACCCCCTCTCTGGTCAGACACACTCCCTCTCTGGTCCGACACACCCCCTCTCTAATTACACATGCCTCTTTCTGGTCAGACACCCCCCCTTTATGATTAGAAATTCCTCTCTCTGGTCAGACACACCCACTCTATGAATAGACATTCCTTTCTGTGGTCAGACACGCCCCCTCTCTGGTCAGACACCACACCCTCTCTGTTCAGACACGCCCCTCTCATCAGGCACACTCCCTCTCTGGTCAGACACGCCCCTCAAGTCAGGCACACTCCCTCTCTGGTCAGACACGCCCCCTCTCTAATTAGACTTGCCTCTTTCTGGTCAGACACACCCACTCTATGAATAGACATTCCTTTCTGTGGTCAGACACGCCCCCTCTCTGGTCAGACACCACACCCTCTCTGTTCAGACACGCCCCTCTCATCAGGCACACTCCCTCTCTGGTCAGACACGCCCCTCAAGTCAGGCACACTCCCTCTCTGGTCAGACACGCCCCTCTCGTCAGGCACACCCACTCTATGATTAGACACACCTTTCTCTGGTCAGACACGCTCCCTTACTCTCTGGATGAGCTTTTCCGGGACTGGGGCTCTCAGCCGCACTGCATTGCTTACAAGAGGGAGAGGAGGTGTCCGAGTATCTGAAACATTCAAATCTTTTTTTGCCTCTGACTATAACAATGAACGTTGCCGTGCGCTCCCTCTGTGGTCGGCTTTATATTCCATTACGAGCCTTTTGTTGTATATGTTCAATAGATGGAAAGAAAAGAATTGTTGATCCTGCCAGAAATCTAGCGCTGCCTTGTGTTCCTGTGCACTCTGCAGGGGTTATAAGCCCTGGTGCCAACCGCAGAATTCCCACACCCCCTTTTCAATACAGAAGAGGAGAGAGGGGGGGGGAGGTGCTCTGTAGCCCTAAATACATTTCCCACAGACACGGCACCGTGAGCACGCACTGCCAGCCTGGGACAGGGAGCGTGTTACTGGCAGGATCACCAGCTGAAAACAAAAAGAAAGTACGGTACCTGGGGAAGGTTCTGCAGCAATGCCAAGGACACGGCTCCAGAACCGCAGCCCACTTCAAGGATTCTGGGCTCCGGTGACTGCCTCAGCTGCGGACAATCCGCCAGGACCAGCCCGACCAGTTCCTGGAGAATACAGAAGAAAAAAACCCAATTCCTGCGAATGTTTCCAAACATCCAGAACCACCGAAAAGCCCGACTGGACCCTCCTAGAAAACCCTGCGGTCACCCGAGCAACTAATGTGCTCCCATGCCTCTCTTTTCAATCTGTACTGAAATGCACCGCAAGCGATATCGCCCATGCGCCACACCACGCGGCTAAGGGGGACGAGGCGCTGCCATTGGACCAGCAGTCCGGCATAAGTGGTCCAACACACCCCTTGCCCACGGCAGGACTTCAGGTCTGCATCAGCATGGGCAAAGCTCAGGGGTAGGCAACCTCGACACTTCAGCTGTTGTGGAACTACAAGTCCCATGAGGCACTGCAAGACTCTGACAGCCACGGGCATGATGGGATCTGTAGACAATGCACAGCTGGAGTGCCGGAGTCGCCTACCCCCCCCTTGGCAAAAGCTGACCGCAGACCATTCGCAGCACCTCGGGTGAGCAGCATAGGGAAGTGCTGCGTGTGTGCGTTACAGGTTCCTCAGAGTCGGGGCTGAGAGAGGAACGCAGTAAAAAAAAAAAAATGCTCTTTCATCTTAAATCTATATACATGAAGAGCTGAATATATATATATCCCGGGCCTTTGAAAAGTCTAAATGTACTGGTCCCGGGATATACAATTACCAGGCAGACAGAGGGGCACCAGAGAAGAGAAAAGGGTCCGAGTATTTATAATACACAGGAAGAGGCAGCGAGCGTTAAACATTCCGTGACATCAACACACAGCCCGCAACTTATTACTATACATGTGAAACATATTTATTAAAGGAGAACTATGAGGGGGGGGAGGGGGGGTGCCTTTCACTCACCTCATAGTTCTAGCCGACCTGTGACAATGAGACTGTCACAGGTCGGCTCAGTAGATCGGGAGGTGAGCGAACACATACCGGCGTTCGCTCACCTCT